TTGTATTTGTTGTCCTAAATCCGAGCTTAAGTGAATCATCAGCAATATTAATTATCAAACCCAGATCCGCTCTTTTTATTTACCGGAATCCCGTGTCGAATACCTGAGCTACCCTGTTGTAACTGTAGACCGGAAGCTTAGTAGGTTCGAGAGTTATCGCCATTTGTATTCTATGCTACGTATATATTCCTGATTGCATTAGGGCAGGTATTGATTTCTTTAAGCAGTTTCTCTGTTTTTCTCTACTTTTCTATTAAAGATTACATCGTCACTATCATGTTGTTTCTTCAGCTAGTTTTCCCACCTTTCCCTACGTTAAGATCACTTCCGGTAAAGTTTTTACCTCATAAAATGCTTCAGGTTGATACCATACCTTTTGATTACTAACACTTCCTGATTTTAGATACTCTTGAGAATAGAGTCGGAAAAACTGTAGACGCTTTAAAGGGAATAATATAATTTTATCTTAGTCAACCGGCCATTATTGTTTGCTTCTGACCGGATGAATAAGTATACGACTATTGGGAGATTGAGTACATTGTCCTGTATTACACTCTCTAGAACTGATTGGGGTAATATTAACTGTAAGCGGTTGGTTAAATGACCATCTAGAATGTTGCAATATGTCTATCTTTTTATCTTTTGGGTAAACCAATTTGTGTGACGCAAAAGCTTTTAATTCTATGAACTGTTCAAACCGTTGGTGCATATTGCAACCTATGAAATGAACCTCAGCACCGGTTGACATTTGTTGTCTATGTGAACATTAGAATGGGTAATTTAGATGGTTCAACATTTAAAAATATCGAAAGTAATCTGTTTTTCTNTGAACATAACGCACATACATTGAGGCTTAAGCTCTTCTGAATCAGTATTAGCTTTTCTCTGTTTCTTAATACTCTTGACCCACGGTGCCGAAATGACCACGCGGTTCAACCTGTTTGCGAACAAGTGAGCATGTTTTTATCTCCATAGTAGTTTCGGATAGATGAGAAAGATAAAAGTAATGATAATAACCAGTGCTGCATTTACAGGTGAAACCCACTTGCATCCAGCGGCACACTGCACAATCAAAGAAGGTATTGAAACAACATGCATAAGCGTTTGACGATGCAGAGTCGCGATATAGTGGTGAAAAAGCAAAATTCCTCCAGTTAAACAGTCTAATAAGTTCCGTTTGACAGTAGAAACTTTCCACCTGGCTACCTCATCACAACTGTGCAATGCTGTGAAGACAGTGATATTTGAATATCAGCGATATTTTTGTATCTTTATGCTACATATTGCGATTTCTTATATCATCAAAGAAACCAGTTTCGTGAGGAGACTGACATTACTATCCAATTTGCGGAGACTGTCCCTCCATTTTAATTTCGAAAAGTAGACCACAATTGAATTTGTCAAATAACAAATCTCATGTCGGATACCCATCATGACAGTCCAACGACCAATCATACACTGACGACACTGCCTTCGGATACCTTGAATTAGAATCTTGTGCCACCACAAAATGCTATTTTTACATCATTGATAATTTCCCTGTCTGAGAAAAACAGTGCACTAAACCCAAATAGTAGCAGTGATAAAGAATAAACAGCTAAACTGGGAAATTTCCGTGGATGAATGAAACTGAAGCTGCGAAAAAATTGCAAGAATGTGTTTAGAAATCGCAAATTTAATTTGCCTTAAGTCTAAAACTGAGAAATTATTTGTAGGTGAGAAATAATAATGTTAAAAAATTACCAGTAGGTCCCTTCTTGATGAAATTTATAGCTACTGGAAGTTGGTTTATTACTCTATTTGATACGCAATATGTATCAGTGGTCTCACAGTAGCCATTGAAACTCTAGATGGCTTGGCGCTAGGAGAGATCATTAAGCAAGGAGAACACATGTAGCCGGTTCTGGAGAATTTATTTGAGGAAGAAACACTATAGTGTTGCTGTGTTGATGATGAAACCAATACACGAATACGAGAGGGAAAACAGCGAAAGAGATCCCGAATCTGTATGCTATTCTATACTCAACTGTTAGGCTGTGTTTGGGTGCTATCAATGTTCTCACATGGTTGGGTGAAATTTCCGTGATTGGTATTCCAAACAGCGGTAGTTCTTGATTTTTCAGAAAAACTGTTATCAATGACCAGAAATATGATATTTCTAATAGCGCCAGTTCTGATATTATACAAGTATATTGACCACGTCAGGATGTTTTCGCTATTGAAAACTAATTTGTGATAGATAAAAAGATAACAACAAAACAACAATTCTTTCAAGAAAATGTTAAATGTAGAAAGTACACTGTGCGAAAAAATTTTGCAGCAACTTTTTTGAAGCGCTATCAAACTCTTACACCAAAACTGACTACTTTAACGTTTTTCAGTAGGCAGTTCAGATGAAATCAACCGTTGTTGCTAACGTGTAGGCTAATTGCAGAGGATTTTCCCTTCTGCAGTGGCAAAACCTCTCGATAAAAAACATTTTCATGTAAATATCACATGAACATCATTATTTTTGGCATGCAAGTGAAGGATGATACTACTGTTATTAGTTTAGTCGGTTAAACAATTAAGAGCATCAGAATTAAGGTTTTCTCGTGTAAATTGCTTTCTAAACATTAATTCCTGTTCCCTTTTCTAGCTGCTGTCAAAATGGTTGTCGTAAACTTGGTGAGTATGCTGTTATTTGGTTTTGTTCGGGAAGATGATAAAATGTTATGGTCGATTGGAATGTGGAATGTTTGTTACTGCAGTAATGCAGTAATTGCAGTAATGCAACCGGTTACTTGGAAGCCATAGGGTTTTAGAGAAATTTGAATTTATCGACCTTAGCGATGATTTTTATCAAAAACAAAGCAGAAAAGTTTGAAAAATAAGCAATAATTATCTTTTGCTTTTATTATTCTCTGTTTCATAGGGCGACCATGTTTGGATTCCTCCACTCAAACAAACGGAGTTCGCAGTACCAATAGGGGCAGTTATCAAGGAAATACATCCAGACTACTATGTGGTCGAAGATGATGATGGGCAAGTAAGCGACTGTGCTGAAGTAATTTTATTTACTATTGTTTTTAAAATTCAGTTGGGTTTTTCAACTAGTGTATTTCACAACAACGATCATTACTGCTTTCTAAACTTTGTTCACTTTTGATTCCCATATATTTTTTCACGTTCTGTATACTAAACGTTTCAAAAATTTTAGTTTGGCTCTTTTCTTCCTTGATTGACTATAAAAGTAGCCTAAAAATATCAGTCAAAGCCGAAACATGGGAATGCAGTGATAATAGGAGTACCGTTCCTCCACTAGCAAAAATTTACTTNATTTACTTGAAAACGTGTTCGTTAAAATCCAGAGATATAGGATGTCGTGTGTAGAGAGATTTGAGTCGGTTTTGACTAAATACCGTGGACTACTACCGTGAAGTGTGCGATTGGAGGTCAGCCCGGAAACATAAGAGGACCAACAACCCATTAAGTTACGGCTTGTTGAANATGTGCTGTCCATGCGTTTTGACAATGATAAAAGGCTGCACAAAAGTTGGTGTTCCTGTGCTCTCGGAGCTGGAAGTGTTGTTCGCAGGCGTTTCGTATCCAAGCCTCCCCGAAGTTGCACTGAGGATGTTGCCAAGCCCGGCTGGGAAATGTATGCGAACAACACTTCCAACTCAGAGAACACACTTACACCAACATCCACATTTCTAGCTACGATCATTCCTTATTATAGCTATACAAAACTTTCCGAGTTTTTTTCAGTAGCTTGACCTCTTTACACGATATGAGTAATTCATATTTTGTAATCAAAGCAAAATTAACTCCTTTATAATTATCGAGATAGAAGCCGATGAATACGCTTGTTATTTCTTCTGCCTGCTAATTAAGCTCTTTTTTATCAATAGAATAAAACCGGTTGTGAGATGCTATTCACACGTGCGAGTAGTTTGTACATACCACGTAATTGGCAAAAGGATTGACGGATTTACTTTTGTAACTATAACAAAATGCGCATCTACCGTCGGACCGTTCCATTACTTAACCGGTGTGCTTTCGGGAATTCTGAAGACTTGTGCCACATGAAATATGCTGCTGTATGTATGCTAATTTACCGATACACTTACCGTAATTCATAATTGACAACTTCCCTTGTCCCGGTACCCTCTTGTGGATTTATAAAACACCAACTGATCAAACGTTTATTATTCCGGAACAAGAATAGCAACATATGGTAATATAATTACCTGGTAAGAAAATAATATCAGATTATAATTCAACCCGAGAGTGGTAAAATCTGTCATCTAAATGTATATAAAATCGATTATTTCACTTCCAACGGCCTCTGAGTAAATTATTTGAACACGATTCTTCTGACCCATTTTAGTAATATCTTTTGACCTGAAAATTGCTTCAAACACCATTATCCGATGCATGCATTGGTTTATGACCGTTCCCAATGAGGTGCTCTAACTTGTCAAAGTAGATCCCCTGTGTTTCTTGTTCGCGCTTTCGGAAATCGCTGGAAATGTTTGTGTCTCATTTTCGGATTCCTTCGCGAAGAAACCGTATTACCAATATTTCCTGTAAATCAACGTAAACGTTTCACCGGCAATTAGAAGCGATTAACATGTCCAACTTAGCATAACAGTGACAGAAGTATAGACTGCAAGTACACATTTAATTGTTTTGATCATACACATATTCTTAACTGCCTAGTCATTCCCAACCAACAAACCAGACGGTAAAGAGAAAATAGCACTCAGAATACTTCATTAGGTATAAACTAAATCGTTTTCTCCTTCTAGTTATAATAGTTGTGCATTTTTATCCAAGAAGGATTGCTAAATGGTGATTAAATAAATAAATTAAATTATATAAAAAATTAAAAAATAAAATAAATTAAGTTTATTACTAACCAAAACCTAATACGACAACTGGCGTGTCACACCATCCACTGAATTGTTTAACTTACCACACTTTTTCTGCAGGTCGTAAATATATCACGTGATACACCGTTGAAACCAATGCATCCATCTTCCATTGATGGTGTAAACGACATGATTGCGCTGGGCGAACTTAATGAAGGTGGGATTTTGCGCAACTTGCTCATTCGGTACAAACAAGACGAAATTTACGTACGTCTTTTGACACATGCTTACAGATGACCAACAGTTGACTCAGTCACAAGAGTATCAGCTTAACTAACTTGAAAATTCGCAGTGCGTAACAGAACACAAAGTTTTGCAATATCCTTACAATGATTGCATCTTTTGCATCTTTTGCGGTTCATACCTTGATTTTCAAGACATTTTGGTTTAGCAGAAAATATACCATACCAGATATTGAACCTATAACTGTTTCATCATTTTATCGATACTAGTGATGATAATAACATGTATCAAACAAATCAGTTAGTCACCTTATTTTGAAAATGAAATTAAAACACAAGTTGATCAATTTTTGAAATAATTAGCTTTCTTTATCTGGGTGCTCAACGATGCTGTTCACATTAATCAAATTTGTGACTTTCTCTTACATAAGAGTAATTTAGTTTCATAGAGGAATCCGTGAAGGAACTCGGGGATGTCACGCGCAGAGCTATGCCCACCACTCGACCTAGTTGGCGGTTTTCATAACCACCGCCTCGAGAAGTGCTTTGGACCCTATGGGACGAGGTTCGAGCCCCGCCACCGCCACTCGACTTTGGTGGTAGTCAGCTTTGCTGTCGTCCGGATCAATACCACGCCTAACCTATCGGGGCCTTATGTGGTTCACCACTCCAAGTCCAGGGGCTTAGGTTACCGGTTTCCATCACTGAACAGCAGGTCCTCCTGACTATGGGAATCGCCCCGTCTGCTGTTCATCACACTTAGATGTGTAATAAAAAAAGAGAACAGCTCTGTTGACCGTAGGCCTACATTAGCCTACCTCAGCAATCTATCGGTTAAAGATTATCTTCGTTTCAAAATCGAAATAGCGTCGCCTCTTGCTTTTGCTTATCAACTTTAGTTCCCTGTCATCAAACTTTATCATATGCAATGTATTAGAATTGGTAAATTCTTTATTCCGCGGGACCTAGTTTATGAGGCTATGAATAAAAATGTTAGTATTTATTGAAAGTAAACTGAACTGCATACGACATATGTCATGACGTTTTTTCTTTAAAACCAAATAAAACTTATAAATGGAATAAAATAGTTCCTGGTGGTTTTAATGAGTATTTATGAAGTAGGAGTCCTGGTTTCATTGCAGCTTAAAATTGATTGTACCAATTTTGTTTTCGCCGGGACGATTTAATCAGACTTACACAGGATCCATCTTGGTTGCGCTCAACCCATATCGTGTACTCCCGATCTATACGGCGGATACAATCAAGGCATACAGACGAAAACGAATCGGAGAATTGCCACCCCATCTGTTTGCTATTGGAGACAATGCCTATACTCACATGCGGCGATATGGAATGGATCAGTGCATCATCATCAGGTATTTCAATCAGCCGACGTTCCCTGTTCACACTGGGTAATGATTTCCTGTGGTAAACATGTCAGGATTTCATCAATTGCATTGCACTTAAGTTATCAAATACAAGTGCCTATTGTGCAATACGAATGATCATAGTAATTCACCGTAGAACAGCTGTGAACGGGGCGAAGTTGGTATAACGCAATCGCCCCATCATTTATGATATAGTGAGCTCTGTGACTAATGCCACTTTTCCGATACTTTGAACAAAGCAGGAAATTACTAGGTGAAGTGGGTACAGAAGTCACGTATGGGGATCCCTGATAGCTCAGTTTAAAATAACTGTAGTAAATGTTCGTTTACCACTGACACTTGATCACATGAAGGAAGAACGCGGTTACCACACACGAGTGTTTATCATCGCAGCCGAATTAACGGTAATATCAAGGTGCAAGACATGTTAAGGGAGGGAGGACTCAAGGTTCGTGCTAGTCATAGGTTCTTTTGTGCCTCTTGCGACTCTCTTCCTTGCTCCTCCTGTGTATTTATAGTGTTCACCCATTTTATGTCTGGAAAGGAAGGTAAAATTGAGGTCATGAGTATTACTGGTAACATCTCCTGCCAGTTTGATTTCAATGCCGTTAGAAAGACAGCTTTGGACCTCAGTGATCAAGTGGTGTAGGTCACCATCACCTCACCCCGGAGATCGCGTGTTTCAATCCGACCATCACTGTTCAACTTCTCTGCAAATTGGTTTCTGGTGACACCCTTTTGACTGATCACCGCAGGAACTATCAAAGTGTTCTATATAATTAAAGATATTAAAAAATTGTTAATAACTATTATTGAACAATAATTTCAAAAACATTAGGTTATTCAGGTCCTCTTGTGTTTGATAATCTGTTAGAAATTCGTAGATGAAGCGACGTCAGTAAAAAAAAAATAATTCGACAAAGCATATCATGTGCAGTTGTGATGTCTTTTCAGACACTAATTGCTCCATCGTACTTAACTATTGAAATACTAACTTTTGATTTAATTAGAATAGAATATCTCATATTTCTAGATCATGTTTGTCATGGATACAAATATAGTGCGCTTTTGCAGGAAGTTGCCTTATCATTTGTTTAACTTAATACAATATGATGAGAATAAGCAAACGCAAAGGGGTCAGCAAAATCCCCGATAGCACTTGATCTAGTCTACACTCGCATCTGTTATTTGTCTCATTAATTACGTTTATTTGAATATCACAATATGCTGGTTACCACGCACAGCGGTGAAAGTGGAGCGGGGAAGACGGAGAGTACGAAATTGTTACTACAATTCTTAGCTGCAGTGAGCGGTCAGCATTCGTGGATCGAACAGCAAATTTTGGATTCCAACCCTATTATGGAAGGTAAGCATAAAAATTATCTTGGCTACATTCCACAGTTCACGATAACATCGACATAAGCGGCGTTTCTAGTCTCTGAAGCTTGTATGTCTGAATTCTATTTCGCATGTTCGTCGAGCTTGGCAATTTGTTTGCAAACGTTTCATCACCAGCCGAGATGACATCATCAATGCTTGTGAAGTGGCCACCTCGATACTTTGTATGGCTGAGTTCACATTCATCGTGATAATGAGAACTATGTGTTCAGCACCATTTCAAACACAAGAACTGAGGGTATTTTGTGTCAAAGCCGTTTAAATTCGCGTTACCACGGTCATACATAGCGATGCAGTAGCAACCACAGCAGCGGATCCGCGATTGCAAACCTCTACAATCAATTAAGTGAACTCGGTTGGTCGGTCAGTGGATTTCATGAATCACAACTGTGTGAAATGAACTTGTCTATCCGTTGTTAAACGCTTGCGCGTACTATGCTGACGTGATTGCAGTTAGCTTTACTTGTCTCAGATTGTGCATCAAACAGTCGTGTGCGGAAAGCTTCTGATCATCTCATTAGTTGGATGAATTTGGGGCATATTTTGAGACAGACTATGTTCTGGAAAATCACGAGTGATTACGTGCAGGTTGTTTAGACAATGAACGTGGACGAGTAACCGAATCCACAAGCCCCGTTGAGCCAAACCTTTGATAAGAACCACTGCAAAGGGTCACGGAGGTAATCGCATTGAGATGAACAAGTAGTTGATGCGTGGATACTAGAGGCGGATCAGTAACAGGGGAACGGCTTCTCACTGAATACGGTTCAAAAATGGCCGAATAAAAAGAAGACTCGCCTCAACCTTGGCGCCAAAGACAGCAACCAAAACCGGCGCACGAAAGTGCAAGGTTAATGGTTCTAAAACCTGAAACCATAATTCCGACTGGGGTATGTTTGGACCTTATAAATGATAACAACATTTGGCAAGAGATGAAAAACGACTTCAATGTAAAAAGGGAGGGACTAGTCCTGGGAGCAGTTCAACAATATGATGGGACCAAAATAATGCAACATAAAAATTGGAGACCAAGTAGTTCAGGTGAAAATGAAGAGCAAGATGAATAGAAGTCAAAATGCAAATTAAGAGCAAGGGGATTATGCTTATGAGCACAGATATAAGAGGTATGTTGGCATTAAAAAGGTGCCTGGTTTTTTCATGCCCTAAGCAGCAACGATACTCAAATTGGAAATGAGTGAGGCCTACAGAGAAACTCGATTTTGAATGATGATAAAGCAAACACGGAATATTGCTATAGTACTACTCAACAGCAGTATTGTGATGATGCTCGGTATTATGCAGATTCCGCAAGAATCTACCTAGTCGGAGTACGGCGAAACTTGGTTACCAAACTACAATGGTTTAAACTTCACTGGTGGTTTCCGAGGCACCAATCAGGTTGTTGACTGGTTCTACAGTTATTTGATATATCCTTGCTCTCGTGACATTCAACCCAGTGAATGTTTCTCTTTCCTGCTGCAGTTTTGTTCTAAGTTTGAAGCTACTGTCACTGCAAAATGTTTGTGGACGACAGATATTTGAACAAATTGAGGTTAGCCTTTTTACTACATTTGAATGAGGATGTACTTCGATTGCATGAAACGATATTTCGTTCAGAGTCGCGTACGAATGTGTGTAGCAGCGTTGGCTTTTAACCGAAAACGATATTTGTTTGGCCCCGTTTGTTTGCATCGTCATGTGCGAAACTGTAAAATCGTCGGGACAATAAGCTCACCTTCTTCCCCCTCTCTTGTTCATTCTTTACACTCCACTTCCAATGCTTCGAAGCCTTCGGAAATGCAAAAACCGTTCGCAACGACAATTCATCCAGATTTGGCAAATACATAGAGATTCATTTTGGACGAGACCGGGGTAATATAGTCAGCGCACGAATCGAACAGTACCTATTGGAGAAATCTCGAATTGTGACCCAAGCTCCGGGGGAACGAAACTATCACGCATTTTATTATATGTTGGCAGGAATGCCGAACCCAATGAAGAAAATGCTTGGCTTAGGGCAGGCCAAAGATTACTACTATCTCACCCAGGTAAATTTCTTGAAATTGTAACCAAGGCTCCACTGGTTCGATTGGAGCATTAGGTGACAAACCAAAAGCCGATCAAAGTTAATGCAAACGGGTTTTTGGTGACTTTTTTATTGAACCACTTCGCATGTCAGTAGTCATTCGGATTTTGTATTGCCTCAAAATGATTTCTACGGTTGTATCTCCAACTGAATGTATTATGGATCATGTTGAAAAATCCGTTTTAATTTATCAGAAGTTTCACTCAGATTTATTGTGAATCAAAACTGAAAAAGCGCCTTGAACATTGATAAATCATGTGTTCCACTCACTGAAAATTGTGCTTGATTGAGCGAAAAGAATGCACAAGATCATGATAAAAATTGGGCTAGAATCAGCTTCTGGTTCTGAATGGTTCTGAACATTCAAATATGTTAGTTAAACATAATCAAAGAGCTGCTTTCTCTAAGTCTCTAATCAGTTCGAGAACTATTGCATAAGGCGTAAATCCGATTCATCAGTAAGTACAAAACGTGTGCACTATCCATACGTCAACAAGATGTATGGGGAGCGAGCAATAAAGCTCTTCCTTTTCAGGCCACCACTCTAAAGTAACTTAGCGCGAAAAAGAATCATGAAGGTATTGCCTTACGGTATCAGTCGATGCTGATAACTCGATCTGCGCTTTCGTAGGGTTTGATGGGGTCACATGCTAAGACTTGAAAAAGAGTGCTTCTGTTGACGTTTTCAACAAAAAAGTTATCAGGTATCAAAACAAGGCCTCACCCAGCCAAACGATAAAGCTTATAGAAAGACAATAACTATTTATCGCTCTCCTCTGTAACGTCAACTTGATCTATCCGTGAAAATTTCCGAAACAACTCGTCAAAAGATGAAGGAAACTCATTACAGATTTTAAAACTGAGGACGACTGTCAAGTTCACCTTTTGTTCCTAAGTGAGCAGCCGCGCCTTTACTATAATTTTAAACCTAATCATGGAGATCATTTGAAGTTCAGGTAGCTTCAACCATTTTACCGGTACTAATGACCGAAGCTTGGGTATTTCACTGTTTATACAATCAGAAGTTGTTATCGGTCAATATTAGACACATGTTTGCATAGTCAACAAGCGCATAATCAAGATAGAGCTTCCATTTCCATTTGTTTCCAATCCAATTTTTTGAGTAAATAGTTGCTGGACAAGATCATAGACTCCATACATATTTTTCATGTCATGTCACGAATGGTTTTAATAATCCCTATGGATGGAGTTTCCTTCCTAATGCATATTATTGGTTGGCCGATAGCGACTGAGATCGAGCGTCTCACAATTTTCGGTGTCATTCAATAATGAGTCTTTTATACCTTTATTATGATTAACAACAAATCTTATCATCTGTTCAATCCATAATGCAATTGAATGTGTGTGCCTGTATAAGTGGGGCCGGCAATTTAATATTTTGCTTATATCATAAAGGTTCTCATTTTGGTTGGCTTCAGATCACTCAGTCCGTTAGAGAATGATATGCTCTGTGAGTGGTTTAGTTTTATTTCTTAGATCAGACACCTATGTAGTTTCAACTATAATCAAACTTTTAAAGCGGGCATATATTATTTGACTCACTCGAGCGCATCATTGAGCATTATCCTTTTGCGTCTACAGCACATGACTACGTGATAAATCATTAATAGCTCTAGTATTTATCAAATATTTTCATTCCAAATTGAAAGGGCGGTTCTGTGCTCGTAGAAGGACGTCAAGATTCGGTGGAATACGCGAATGTGAGCTCCGCAATGCGTGTGCTTATGTTTAGTCAAGTGGAAATGGATCAGATATGGTGCTTACTAGCAGCTCTTCTCCATCTGGGGAATATCTGTTTTCAAGCCGCACAAAATCATGGAGTCGATGCCAGCTACATTACTCCAGAGTGTTTTCACCACTTGCAAATGGCTGCACGTCTACTCGAGGTGAGCTGATGAAATCACTATGGTACCTTAAATGAACCTTCATTTGTTTTGTTCTCTAGAGATTTCCGTGTTTCATCGTGTGTTCATCGGGGAGTTTATTATTCAATTGAATACATTCCATCTTTTCATTTCATGTGGAGTGAATAAAGTCTCAATGGGGCAAGATTATTATAATACACTATTATATTTCACACCTATCTGAGTCCAGATTGTGTGCCGAGTAAATCACGGTACAATGATTTTTATGAAAAAAGAAAAGTTCCATGAGTTGTTAGTGGGCACGATACTGCCAGGTTGTCCAGGTCAAAGGCAGTTGAATTTTCTTTGGGAATTCACTACCGGGTAGCCAAAACCTGACCCACAAAGCAGTTGTTGTGTGAAAACCGCAATCTATTGGGGGTCAATGTTTAGCTCATTGGGTTACGCTCCCTTGGGACGAAGACAGATGTGCAAAGTACGCAATACACCTTGATACCCAATCGAGCCGGTGACCACTGCCACAACCGGGAAGATGCATGTGTGGTTTTACGCTTTTTCTTGGTTGTTTTGATATCAGGGATTTTAGCCAAATTCCCTAGGTGAAATGCCAGTGGATCACCTACCCGGTTATAGCCCCAGATATTGGCTTTTCATCCTCGCACTTTATTGGGTAAACATCCACCACAGGAAGTAGAGCTTCTTCAGCAGAAGCTATTTCAGAAGCTTGGTTACTGAGGAGTATTTTGTAAGATGTAAGTGAAGGGTGACCAACTGCTGTCCGAGGAACCCACCCCCAGCCACACTAGGGCGTCTGGAGATAGAAAATGAGATTGAAAACAGTATAATGTTGTTTCTATCTTTAATCATTAACACGTAATTATTCATTGAACCATCAAATCAGTGAGCTTCTCAGCACAACTAAGGTAACAGTTCATGGGCATGCTGCCTAAAAATGGAGACCTAATCGACCTTTGACAGACTGTGTCACCCGCCTACCTTTTTATATATTATGTGTTAATCATTGAAAATTATATCCTAATAATCCTACTCCTGTAAGTAGTGAAACCCTAATGACAATAGTTTTTTTTCATTTTCTGGAGCTTTACAAAGTTAAAAAGCAGAGTAACAAACGGTTCATGCTATTTTCTTTCTAATGTACAATTCTTGAGGAAGTAAACAACTTCCGACTATTTGCTCAAATGACATAGACAAATGAAAAACCTCAAAGAAGAGTAAATAATACTTAATACACATTATTTTCCATGTAATACTCTAGTATGATAAATGCAAAGACATGCATTCAGATGGTTTCACACAAGATACCCTCAAACTATCCTGTTCTGCCGTACAAGTATGTGATCAATCCTATCCATCGGGATTTCCTGAGTGATGTGAATGATGATAGATAACGAAAGCTGTACCTTTATGGTTGCTCCCGATGAGCAATGTATATGCTACTGGCTCGCGGGAGTAACTTCGAAAGTTCTGATATACATTTCCTATTTGGATACAATGCATCGTTACTCGGCTCCAATAGGGACGCAAATGTTTAGTGAGATTGAGTGGTTGGTATTCCGCAATGTAATGAATGGTATACCTGTATACTACTTGCGTCATTCCACGTTGAAATAATGAGTACACATTGCTAACGATACCCAATAAGGACACAACAGCTGCATAGCACATCAAATATCATGCTTAGTCCCTAGTGCCTGTGAAGATCGAATAAGCTCATCCAAACATAATTTTCTTCCCAGATTTTTGTTTTAGTTCGCCTTGATCAATATTTGACAGACATCTTCCTCAGTGCTTATGAAGTAAGGTTTGAAAATGTCAACTCGACTGGTGAACTTGCAAATAAATTGTCAGGCTGAGCAAAAAACGAAAATGAATTCAGTTCACCGAGCTACGATAATCGATTTTCAATACTTTGTCAACCGTAAATTCTTTTCTAATATTTTATTGCCATAAATACGTTACACGATAATGAAGATTGCTGTACATGGCACTATTGAAATAAATAAAACCTTTCTTAGGTAGTATTGATGTGAACTAAATCATTGAATATTTGAACAAAACAAACATTTACATACTATATTTTTTACCGTCTTGCTTTCACCTCAAGGTCCCTGGGAATGCTCTTGAATGTGCGCTCACCAGTAAACGTTTGTTCACTGGAGGGGAATGCGTTACTTCTTGTCTATCACGAGCTGCTGCAATGACTGTCCGCGACGCATTAGTCAAAGCCATATACAGTCAGCTTTTTGTGTGGATTGTACGCAAAATTAACACAGCCGTGTACAAACCAGTACATGCATCAAACCCACGAGGTACGCGATCCATATCACCAAATGAATGCCCGTCTGTTAGCACTACAACCACAAACATCACGATGAATACGACAAGTGGTCAGGATCCGGCAACCACGACAGAGGGACTGTCGGTCAATCAACCGTGGTCTAAGTGGCCCTTACCCGGGCGAGGAGATTTTTGTGGTACAAGTCAAACAGAAGTGAGACCTTATTCCACAGTTCCTGGGAGAAATTCAATCGGGGTGTTAGATATCTTTGGATTTGAAAACTTTACACGAAACAGGTAACCGCATGGTTTAACCATCATTTCTTCGAGAATATCGTTCATGATTGAACTTCTGAACTGTATTTCGGATTTTGATGCCGTTCGATCCTAAATTTAGATAAAAGTGGTTCGATTTTAAAATAATGTCAGCTTGGACTCTGCTTTTAGTGATAATCTGATGTGAGCTTTTATAATGGTGGTTGTTTTGATTATTATTTACAAATAAATCTTAATTTTCGTAAACATTTAGACAATAATAAGACTAATATTATTCAGATTCACAACTGTGAACAAACTGTGTTTATTTCCGGGTTGGTTGAGGCTATCTAAAAGTTATCAGCAATAAAAGCTCATCAGGAAACCAAATACAACCAACAGTGATAAATGCTCAAGGTTCTGCCTTATCTCCAACCTGTTACTTTACCTAATTACCGGTTATTTATAGAATACTGTAGTTTATATATTGCAAGAAAGGCAATCAAACCTGGTCACAGAAAACATATTGACTCTACTTTTAGAACTAAGTTTACGGTGGTAAATAAGAGATAGGTATGTAACAACTTCTGTGCATCCAATAGATGCATCTTATGCAACTTGAAAATTACTCAGCCACAAATACAATGATATTTTACCGATTACCTAACGCAGTCAATTTTCTGCTATGTCGCTCCCATCGGGAAGCCGAAAAATTGTGTAAATTCCAGAAACTGTGACCAAGAATTTTAGTCAGTAGTATGCAGTTTTAAGTAGCCTGGGAAGTCGGTTGGGGATTTTATGACAAAATATGCAGGATTGATGAAAACTGGGTTACTTCCGCTACTTGCTCCCACCTTTTATTCTTAGCTTTTGTTCAATCAAAGCATAATTTAAATCAACAATCTCACTTTGTCATTGTTTATTGGGGAAATTCAAGTCTTTCAAGATGACTTCAGCTTAACAGTAGAATGATGCACTTGGGACTCAGCCTTTTTTCTGTTTCTAATATCTGTATATCAAAAACTTACTTAACTTCATTGGGGCAATTTCTCAAACCCAACTACCGAATTTCACTTCCAAATAATGTTCCTTTCAATTGTAATATAAGTGTTAGATCCGTATAGGAATGTTTGGATTAGCCACAACGAGAGAAAACTAAAAAAACAACTTTCGGTTGACGTCTTAGAAGATATCATCAAAGTGATGTATGAAATCCACGTTTTCACGTATGACGGAGCTCTGTACCAACAAACCGATCTCGCCCACGGTAGCAAACGATTTTACGGAAAATCTTGAGGAGGAAATACGTAGATCTACCCTAACATCACCAAGAATCTGGTGGAGGTACGTAGATGATACCTTTTAGTGATCAAGAAGGACTTTGTGGAACCCTTCACGCAATTCATCAAGCATTTTCACGAAAACATTAAGTTTACAATAGAAAAGCAGGAAAAAAGCATAAACTTCCCAGACTCAGTTCAACGCTTCACGCTGATATGAAAGTTCAACACTCCATTCAACGTTACTGCTGTGTGTGCTCCGTAGGCCTAAGCATTACCTTTGTATGATTTACATATATTGTTTACAGCCTACACTACTGATTACCAGTACTGTCCAATCTAAGCAATTCTGCTGTACTGTCACATTTGACCTTATATTCTGTTAGCATTTCTAATTAGTATACGTATTTATTACCAGTTGCTGCACAACTGACCACTAACTAACCAGTTTGCCGTCTTACTGTACTGATATTGTGGGATAAAAATGGTTTACTTGCCTTCACTGTTGTGTATCGGTGGATTTCTGTAATGAGTACTACTTGACATCAAGAGTCGTTTGCTGCAGAATCTGAAGCCGGAATAGTTTTACACCCTTCATGTCATATGATAGATCAACGTAAAATATGCCACACATGAACAACGAGCTTCCTTATGCATGTCGACACTGGATATGAGATACACCTGCCAAAATAGAAAAATTTATTTCGATTCTCTGTTACGTTCCCGGTGAGAATACGTTTGAGTGTGGGACTAATCCAATTAGCTCCAGAAGAGTGCGTGACCAATCTAGGACTTAACTAAACTGAATCGTCTGCTTGCAGTGGATCACACTATATCTCCTTTAAGAGCTTGTCTACCTCCCCATCGTCACATAAGGACATGACAGTGTGATCTACGCATACACATTTGCCTTCGTGTCTTCAATAGCCTTTAGATGGTTGCTCACATCGAGAATCAGATAGGTGAGAAACAGTCAGACAGGGGCACAGGTCCCAAGCCAAACGAGAGTAGGATGACCAGAAGAAGAAGCTAGATTATCTCCACTCCTCTATGAAAATAATTTCAGTACAACTTAATCATCGACTGAGATTAGAAGAAGAATTGAAAAGTGCTTAGTTAGAGTTCGCGTAAATAAATCACGGATGATTTAGCAGATGTTCTAAAATGGTCACCCTCTTCCACGATCCATGCTGCGATTTTGCTTTGTAGATTCATCGATACGTTCGGCAAAATGCTACTCTGAACATCTTGGAAAGTGACCAAAAAATCACGCTTGAGACTGGAAATAATTCCGCCTGCAAACATTTTTCTCAGCTGTCAAGTAACCTCATAAGTAAACGTCTATGGGACTCAGATCGAGGAAAAACCGGACAACTGCATTAATGAGTGTCCACATCCGCGAATATCTGTCCCAGTGGAGAACCCATAGCGACACCATACCTCTGACGATGCAGGTTTCTGTTGAATAGAAACTGGACATCCAAAGTACACTTCATGAGCAGTTCTTTTAGTTTTCCTACTGATATTTTTATATCGATTTCATTTTCTTCGATGTAGTTACCGATGAAATCAACCGTTTTCCATGAGCGGAACGTTCGTGTATAATGAGACCACATCTAGAGAAAACAATTGATCGTCATTTATCTTTTGTTCTCTGATCATGTTCACGAATTCCAGTGTCCCGTGGGCTGTGTTTATGGCCAAACTGGAGAACTTAGTCCTGGAGTCCGAAATTAGAAAGATGAAATTCTACAAGCGATATGTCGAAGATATATTTTGAATAACTGATAAAGAGAACGACCTAACCCATATAACATAAACGTTTGAAAAGGCTCAAAAGTCCATAAGGTTCACCTTAGAGGCAGAGAAAGATAATCAACTAGCATCCCTTGACGTAGCTCTGCACAGGACAGTTGGTGGGCTGCTTGAAAGAAGGGTATACAGAAAAGAAACACGCATCGGACAGTAAACCAGCTTAGATAAAAGAGAAAACCTTACTCAGTGCCTTGTCTCGAGTGCACGAAAGATATGCTCCGAATCCACGTTCACAGATGAACTTGATCAGATTAAAAACATTCTGAGGGGAAAGGAATACCCCGAAAGGTTCATTAAGAGAAATTTAGGAAAAAAATGAAACGGGAGTCCGTTCAGGAAGCTCCGAAGAAGAGACTATTTATGAAACCTCTGATGGCCGTCCACCCCCGCCCCACCCCCCACCCCAAACATCACATGAGAACAACGGACTAAGCTTAATAAATAAAATCTGAGAGCAAGGTAGACAAATGCAGACAGATAGATAGATAGATAATGAAAATAGCTCCCATTTGACTGTTCATGTATTGTTTACATTTTTTCTATCCCAAGTGATCTTATGTAATGTGATATATTAAAAAGTTGATGATTTGCTGAAAACCAGCTTGTTCGCTAAACTGAGTTCTCTTAGAATATCACCTAGACTCACTTATCACGCTAGTTTACAACACAATCGAAACATTCTTTTCTTACACATTCGACAGAATACCAGTTGCTCCATTCAATCAACCGCTTTCGCGCTATGCCCAATCCAATCAATCGTATCAATTCATCTGAGCGCTAGGACGATTCTCAACATCAGATTCATTTGTTGTTTTGTTGGTCCAAGCTCGAACTAAGATAAGTCAGCGATGGTAATTTATTCAAACACAGCCAACAGACGAGCGCTGTTTTACCAATGAAGTCATCTAACGGAATATCAAAGCAGAATTGTTAGCCTTAAAGCATATTCATTAGTGATACTAACCTTGGGACCAACGGAAAGATACTGTCAGAAAATTATTCAGATTTGGTAATTTTGCATTGAAATTTTCGGAGAAGAAATAAAATGAGCCAAACATTGTATACTGTGTTATGCCTGCTGTTTTTGAATGGTATTATCGCGGAGAAAAATAATTTGAAACCACTTTGTTTAGCTTATTGATTTAGTATTGACAGAAGTTGAAAACATCACTCTAGTTTGAGAAATTCTCACAAATGTATCTTCTTCCAGTTTTGAACAATTGTGCATCAATTTTGCCAACGAAAATCTTCAACAATTCTTCGTGCGGCACATTTTCAAATTGGAACAAGAAGAGTATTTGGCCGAGGGCATAAACTGGAAACATATTGACTATGTGGACAATCAGAACACACTGAATCTAATTGCCCTAAAACCGATGAATATTTTTGCTCTCATGGATGAAGAGTGTCAATTTCCTCAGGGGAGTGATGCAAGCTTGTTGAACAAGTTGAATACATTGCACATGCAACACTCACAGTATGTCAAACCAATCTCCACGGCGGAAATGGTTAGTCTTTTCTGTCATTATCAAGGTTCATCAAGCTCTATCAGAAAAGGTAACGTCTTTGGGGAGATTGTTGTTTTGTATAAGGAATATATGTATGCGGTTCATGATAAACTAGGATCTGTTAATGAAGATGGTCATGAACGCACGCAGAAAAACAAGCAGTCTTTGAACGGTAGAAATAGGTAAATAACGAGGATGAGTAGCCAAGCATTTATCGTCGAATTGCATAAGCGTTACGGGNGTAGATCTGGAGGTTGAATGCAAGCGAGGTTTGTTTATGGGAGTGACAGCCTTCCACAGATAATCTCCAGTTTACAGAAGTTGTATCATTTTGCGTCAGTTTTATGCACAAGATAGACGGTAAGAGAAATTAAAGCAGTTAGTGATGGTAAAATGATGCATGGTATAGAGTCATTTCCACCCTAATTCTGCAGTTGTCGAATGATCCTTCTGTACTGTGCTTCTGAAGTACTGATGCTGTTTCTTTGCAACAGAGCTGCAAAAGCTTCGTTGGCAAAAAAAAGATAAAAAGGAAACGTCCTGTTTGATTTTATTGTGTGCAAGTAAATCGATGCATGCGAAAGAATAGCTGATGGAATCTTGAACAACGGAGATCACTGCTTGCACAACGAACTTCTTAAATTCATCCAAAACCCCTTACCCGTTTCCGTAATAAGTTCCTTCCGCACGCACCGCCACATATAGAAACGGAACCCCCTCAGTTTCCCCGCTTTTAGTGAACCGGGTGCCAATTATTACAGATCTGGTGGAAGACCTCATGGGTTTGTTTATTTATTCGTTTCCTAGACTATTGCTATAGTCTTCTCGTTCTCAGTGAGTTGTTGTTTGCGTTTACCCCTCTCCCCCTTCACATTCTTTAGCGGTTCCCCTCACTTCCACTGTATTCTCTAGAAAATCGCTGAAAAATTCATCTTTCGGGTGGTTAAAGATTCGTTTGGCTTTACCTGAGTTGTCATAGCATCAATTCAAGTTGTGTCGGTATCACTTCTAGTTGTCTGAGCATAATTTCAAGCTGCCTCGTTAACCTCACCAATACTGCCAGGCTAACATATTTGTTGAGCCTCCCGGCAATATGCGGATGACCATGTACTTCTCAGTCTCTCACTGAAGTGCAGGTTGCTGATCGTGAAAAATGACTCGGTCATACCAAAATTTCCATAACATATATTGCTTGTTTACCTTGCAAGTACACGTACGCGTGTATGTGTTTATCCCCCTCCTGCTGAAAATTCATATCGGGCCATGCTCCACTGATACAAATGGATTATGCGCGGTCAACTCTTGAGCCATTACTCACGTCCTTCACCTAACACTGCAATATAATTCGCGAGCTACACCTCAAGCGGTTGCACCAGGACAGCAACCGATATACGCATGATAGTTGGCCAGATTGACGCTGTTTGTGGCGCTTGCAGAGTGGATTCTATCTCAGTGACCGTCAAAGAGACATAAACAAAATTCTTCTACTCAAGTACTGACTAATCAGATCAGTATTACAGGGTGGTGATCAGTTCCGTGTTAGATTGAGGAACTCCGAGTTGCGCAAATCGTGCGAACTAATCCAATCGGATCGCTGAGAGGGCCAGAGGGAATTAAATTGTTTCAGGTCAGGGGTGAGAGGGACAAGATGATGTGAAACGATAGGGCGATCGCACTGTGTATCATTCTTGTAATAATTACTTGTCCTCGGTCAGGATCTGGCGGGGGACGAGCACACTCACACGCAGACGCTGACGCAGACGCAGACGCAGACGCAGACGCATACTAACAAGGTAGACAGCCAAGATGTCATGGGAATTGGGGTGTGACCGAGGCGCGTCTCACAATCATCACCCCTACACTTCAGCGGGAGATTGATACATTTATGCTGCATGATGGTAATCCCGATATCCCCGGGATGCTTAAAAAATGCATGAACCTGGTAGCTCCAATGAGGTCAATGAGACAACTTGAAATGGTATTTGGATAACTTGAATTCTATTCGATAAAACACAAGCCGAAATGGAAACACTTGATATCATTGCCTAGTTGATTACCCAGATAATTACCTTTTATACATTCCATTATTACAATAAAACTGTTACTGAAAACTGTTTTCCTGGCACAAAATTGAATAGGGAAGTCACAAAAATGGGTTTATATCCATGATAATTTCGTTGCATCTTCACACTTCATAAAGCAGTTGAACTCTGTCGTCATGCCCGCTTACTACACAGTCGACCCAGCCATTGTGTTCACTACAAGAATGAAACTGCAGTTATAACTTCAAGTGTGGATACTCAGCCATCTACATAGACAGGATAGAGGCGGTTACTTACCCCAGTAGCTGTGCATATCCGAATGCAAATAAAAGTAAACATGGAAAAATGGTGCGAAAATAACCTCATATTCGTCGCAGAAAAAGTGAACTATAGTGATAATATTGAGGTGATTCAAGAGACGCTAACCAAGACAGAGAGGCTCTTACGGGGAATGAATACTCTTACTGGATAAACAAGTGTTACATAAAAAGGGTGCAGATCTGGTGAATATTTTTTTCTTAATTAAAAAATCGCATACAAGGAACTTATTATAGAAGCAATCTCCTCTAGTTTCAATTTAGATGCATATTTATTTCTGCTCTTTTTAGTCTGTGGCTGTTTTGTACCGTATCTGGATTGATTGGTGCATACATATTGATACAGTATGCAACAAAAGTCTATGACCTCCCTTCCCCTTTCTGCTTATTTCCGTTGATTTATTCTCTAACAAAACCATGTCCAGTCAGTGCGTTCAAATGCATAATGTGGTATACCAAACCGAGAATGAAACTCTTTACCATATACCCCCATACACCCCAAAGCTCCTCAGACAGGTTCAGGTCTAGTTTGCAGGTTAGCCAGTGTCTGTCATTGATACCACGGAAAAACCACCAAAATTTTGTAGTGTACGAGCAACGAGCAGAAACTTTATCGTTTTGAAAAACGACAGCCCTGGACTAATTGCAGCCCCTTTCCTGAAAATTAATTATACAGCTGTTGATTCAACACAAGCACTGGAGATTTCACCTCGGTTCGTGATGAACAAATTGCAAATAAATTGCCAAGCTCGGCGAACAGGCGGAACGGAATTATTTTTTATTCTTATTATTTCACTACTTGAGGAGACTGAAAAGACTCATCTAATACGTTTTTTATCATCAAAATGTTATCAAACTGTTTGTATGATTGAGAACATTTATTTGACAAATACACAAAATTCTCTCATTCCAGCGATTTGGAATTCAACACTTTGCTGGTGTGGTGTACTATAATGTGGAAGGATTTTTGGAAAAAAGTCGTGACTCGTTCTCAGCGGATCTAGCCTGTCTTATCAAGACGTCGAGAAACGGTTTTCTGCATACACTGTTCAAAGAGAGTTTGACCTCGGTATGTTTGACAACCAATAACCCTGTTTCCTTTCATGCAGATCGATCATATCGTGTGTGTTAATTTGTTAATTTGGCGTTTTCAGTAGAGATTAGAATTCACCGACGTTTCGGTCACTCCGTATCTCTGAGAGCTGAATTAGAATAATATTAACAAATTGTTCAATGAAGTAGCTTACCTGATTTTGTAATCGCCTCATGTGCCTTCATTAGTAATGTTATGGTATTTATCAAACTTTATTTTCTTTTTTGAATAGACTTCAAGCCAACCTAAAAACAAATTTTGATTATTCAATGAGATCCGTTCCATCTATGGATCTCGTGTTGTTAAATTTCGATAACGTTATGGAGTAGATTTTATTTGTGAATTGATTTGAAAAACATGGTCATTTCAGAAAAAAATGTTTAAAGATTTGCAGTGTATAGATTCTACTTTGATGTTTCACAATAATGAAAGATGTTACTAATGATGCGTGCCTAGAGGAAGCAATTGTAGCATATTCATAGAAACTGCAAGCCGTGAAGTTCTTTTTCGTTGTAGCCGGCGTTTCTCAGGCATGAAGAACACTTTTGTCTGTTAGTCACATCAGCTTTTCAGTATATGCAAAATGGGATTTGAGGGGTTGTGGGAGGGGCGGATATTCACACGCTGACCGCATAATTGATGATAATCCCTTGTGAAGTGTTTATCTTCCATCATTAGGCGGGAGCAGTTGAGATACATGCCCACAGGAGGGTAGGCAGCACAGAATTCATAACTTATTCTCCTGCGAGGGTTCGACAATCACACGATCGATCGGTGGGATGGTTCAGCCGCAGCAAGGAACGTGACGCTTGCCCAGCTAACCTGAGAGAGAAGCCACACGTTGTCCAACGCATCAATTCTTTAGGATACCCTATGAACTTCGACTGAACAGGATTTCTTATCAGTTACTCTGTATTTATTCAAATCAAACCTACACTTCAGTATTTAAAAAGTCTCAATGTACTGTCTTTGTCTTCGGTAGTATTTAGAAGGGTAGTGGGATACGGTGGTGATGCAGGCATACGTGACCGCATTTCAAGTACGACCATCTAATCAAAGTTCAGGAAGCTGGGCCAATAGTACACCAGGCGAACATTACATCCGATTTAGTATATGCGATGTATCTGCACAAACGGTTACGTGATTGGACGATGGTCCTTCAACCAGTGATATGACCTATTACTTACTACAAAACATGCTCTATTTCTATGAATAANTACTTGCTGCTACCGATTCTCCGTGTATGTCATTGGTGTCCGCAGTTCGGTTGGAGCCAATCCAGTACTGAGTATTACAATACGGGTTCTAATATTCCTATATTCAATACTATACCGCTTACCATAGATACCACGATATTTTCGATAGCCTTGGCTGCCCAAACGAACTCTGAAATATTCATGGCAAGTTTTGTTATTGGTCAACTGAGCACCGAACAACGTTTTCGGGTTGGAAGCCGAAACCCTTACTCTGAGCTATATGGTCGACGACCGGCACATCGGGAGCATATATACATCGATTCAACAGTACCTGGATCTCGATTTCTGTGAAACCGAGCAGATTAAACTGAATCAAATTTATCTTTTGTCTTTCTGATTTTTGACTGCATTTGAACTTCGTCAACATGCTATTTTTGCAGGCACTTGAATCTCGGAAACGTTCCCCAACTCTTGGCTTGCAATTTAAAAAATCGTTGGATAGCCTCATGCGCACATTGCAAGGTTGTCAGCCGTTCTTTGTGCGTTGTATTAAACCAAATGAACTAAAACGCCCCGGGTTGTTCGATCGTGCTCTATGTGTGCTTCAGCTACGTTACTCCGGTATGATGGAAACAATCCGGATACGACGTGCAGGCTATCCAATACGACATAAATTCAATGAGTTTGTCGATCGGTATCGCCCACTGGTCACACCACACGCCGTGAACACTGATAAGGACGTGGGACGCGCAGTGGAGGCAATTTGTTCTTCCACGTTATCCAGTGATGACTACTGTGTGGGTCGATCAAAAGTATTCCTGAAAGTGAGTGTGTTTTTCGATATTGTATACCACCAGGGATGGGAACATATCTTGCCTTCGAAACTCATTTCAATCTAATTGTCGTTAACTGCCTTTTTCCCCCATAGGATTTTCATGATCTACGCCTAGAACGGGAGAGAGACCGAATCATCAACTCTAGTGCAACCATAATACAGGCCCAGTGGCGTGCTTACCAGGAAAGGCGGAGATTTATTGATACCATGAGAGCGGTGACCACCTTACAAGCGGTGACACGTGGATTTATTGCTCGGAAGCGTTATAAAAAGGTGAGCGTTTTTCTGTCTTTTAAATGAATTTGTTCATGGTTTTGCAATATACCCTATGGCCACATCGTGTGCAAGCTAAAAATGCATTCATGCATGCCTTCACAGAGGTAAGAGACCGAGGTCGCGGAGGAAAATATCTTTCTGTCAATTCTCAAGTATGTATAGTCTAAGTCTTTTCTGGAAATAAAGAGCTGGGTGTGATGCGCTACTAGCTTTGTGCTTGCACACAGTTGGGTGAACATCATAGTCATCAGGACCTAATGCTTAAGACCTAGAAAACGGCAACTGAAACCCCGGGGCATGAAATGGTAAATCAAATAAGGTCCCATAGTGTTAGTTTTAATAAAGGTAAGTTAAAAACCGCAGATCAAATGAATCGCAGAAGTATAGACTCATAAAAATTGAAATCGGTGCTAGGAATTTTTATTTACAATATGGCGGGATTCATTTTGGAATCTTCAGACAAGTTTCCCTCGTGGATCCGACTTCAAACAAAACAAAGAAGAATCGGTAA